AAAAATTGGGCTTATTATTTGCGTAATGTTCTCCAAGTTCGCTGTCCGAAGTTCATTCCGTCGGGAGAGGTTCCTAACGCCCGAATGGCTACTGATCTTGCGGGGTTTGCCCGGTACAACCGGGACCGACGAAGAGTCAGCTGCTGCGAAGATGGATGGAGAAGGAGACTCGCGCTGTGCAGAACCGCAAGACAACTGATTGAGGATTCCCTATGCTGGGGAGAAGTCTCACTTGCCAATAACGGAAGACGTTGCCGCATATATTAGCCTTGGAGTCACAAATCTGTTCTTGCGCATAACTCTTCCGCCGACGCCTGATCACAAGCAGATCCGCCCTGAGGAGCAAGACCCCCGGGGGCGAACTAGGAATGTTAGTCATGCAAGATTTGCCACTGATGGGGGCCTCCTGTATTTTGACCAACAACAACGAGAGAACGCTCGCGATGGAACGAGTGACGAAGTCCGAAGGCAAGTTATCGAAGCCCACAGGGCTGGCCCAGTGCCCCGCCACATCGCAGCCATTCGTGGGCGCGCCTATCACACGATCAAGGAAAATGCACGCATGGTGCACGACCCACTTGTTGCACTGCTAGGGGAGTTAGATGTGTAAGGATTTAATCAAGCGATCAAATTTATCTAAGCAGAGTTTGATTCAGATGACAGACCTGATTTCATCCCCCAGGACAGGGCACTTGCCCCTCCAGTGTTGCCGAATGACGTTACCAGTGCAGCCGAGGAAGCGGATGCAAACATGTTGAGCCAGGGCCAAAGGTCCGCCATGTTGGGAAGCTCAGAGTTTTGGCGAAAAGGCAGCCACCGAATGCGCCCCGATGCGCAATTCGTAGGTGAGTGCGCGGTGTACATGGCCAGGCATTGCGCCGAATACGCCCGATCATCGGGCGGGTGGGTACATGTAGGCGGTATCATTCGGAAGATGACGAGCGATGGAATCACTCATGCCACAACTGCCCTTGCAGCACATGGCCTAACAATGTTACCAGGGAGAGTTTGATGTTCTAGGCATAAAGGCTGACGACATTATGGTTCCTGATGAGATGAAGCTAATGGAACACTAGCAGTCCTTTCTGAATCCAGACGCCTCACGCGACACAGTCGCTGATGACATAGTCTTCTCCATTGATAGAGCTGAACGGGCTTATAGGCCCATGCCAATGCTCCTTCTTGCAAGTCAAGGACACTCTCGTTTTGCCCGCAGCATAGAACGCATGCGTGCGCCTTACGAATTCGGGATGGCGCGATGTCATGGGCATTTGCTGCACGTTACTTCCCTAGAAACCATCACGGAGTCATCAGTAGGATCAGGGACTATCAAGTACCCGAATATGGTTAGTGGATTGTGCGAAGCGCCTGATCACGGACTTTTTCTATTGATACCTACGAGGCGGGAGTCCCCTGCTGAATGCGCCGAGCACGTCCCTCATTGGCTCAGCCAGCGGAAGGACGGCGAAGCTTCACTCGCAAAGTTTTATCAGGCTGCGGACACGGCCACGGCCGGCGGTGGACCTCCGACTGAGGGAATTGGGCCCCACGCAATCACCCCATCTTTCTGGGAAGCTGATGCGACGCATGACGAAAACTGGCAATATGGTGTTGTCTTCAACGGGCGGGTGGTGACCCGCCTAAGGTATCGCATCTGCCGCGACGGAACTCTTGTGACGGCAGGACAAGCACGCTTCAATGGCGTCTCTCGTATCGTGCAATTGGCGTTGGTTGAACAGACTGCAAGTAATGCGCGACAGATGATCTGTAACATGATATTCTCACAAGAGTGGTCTGCGTATGAGGTTGCTGTCTCGCACGGCACAATTAGAACATTGATATTTTCTGACGAGCAAGTGGCCGATGCAGGGCAGGGTACACTGTCCGAAGAAGAAAAGGCTTTCATCAGGCGGGGAATGTGGACTGACGATGGGAGGTACATGTGCAATCAATACCATGCCATGCGGGCTGGTTCTTGATATTGTCTACAATGCCTCACCCCTGCCACGTGCAAACACAAAGTCAGAGCGAACTATCTACAATCGCCCTGCAGAGATGCATTGGTAACTGCATGGACGAGGCTAGGACTGGCTCCATGTTAGATGCCCCCCAAAGAGGGGAGAGCGGCTCCAAGATCATTTCTAACAGGCTGAAAGCAATGAAAAAGAGTTCGTCTGATGCGCTGGAAAATATGAGCAAGTCTGAACAACACCAGCGCAAGTGGGTTAGCAACTCACAGATACGTTCCCGGGCTGCTTTGGCAGGTTGTACCTTTATAAGTTCGCAGCCAGGGACCGCTCCTTCCTGGAGACCCGACAGCGCCTCGGCACAGCCGCCGGCGCGTCATGAGCCATACTTCCAGCATGTGGAACAATAGCTCCGATTCATTGAATGGCTGAAGTTCAAGCATGGGAAAATGCCACAATCGCTGCCCAGTGGTGGCCATTAATCTGGACGCCAGATCTGGATCAATACGCTCGTCCAATGAGATGCTCTGCACTTGCTGTTTTTAATTGGGAACATGCTAGTGCAGAGCAAATTCGCCCAGAGACAGGCTGGGACCAATGGGAACAAGACATAGCGGAAAAAGGAGTAATAATTCCATCAGTTCGTGTCAACGGAAAACTTCAACGAAGCCAACCGCATTTATGCGTCGAACCAAGTCGGAGACATAGATCTCCGGGTTGTTGCTGAACTTCATCATCGGTCCAGCCGCATTGATGAAGTAACATCAGCACGTGAAGAGAAGGCTGCGACGTCGGACAGCATATGCCTTCAACATACAGCCCAGCGTCATCAGCTGATTGTTCCGACGAGAACGCTGCCCTTTTGGCTTGATTCGGTTCCTATTTCTGGCTGCATGTCTAGCTATAGTACAACGATGACTCATACGATAGGCCAGAAGTTATCAGAGTTGCAGCACAATTCATGCTTGAATATTTATCGACAGTTCCAACTACGATGCCATTGTACAAAGACATCAGTCATGATGCAGCGCCGGGATTTTCCGAGGTCGTGGACAAAACCAACCATGTGATCGAGTCCCCACTCAAGATGGGGGCAGATTCTGTTAGCTGCACGAGAAGTAATAGTATTGTTCATGCCGGAACACGATGTGCAGCGTGGTCCGAACAATGCGAATGCAGCTCTGGAAGTTACATGATGCTTATGCTTTGAATTGTCGGACTAGGTCCGCGGTCGAATCATTTGACCTACTTCATGAATGGACCAAAGGATCAGGACATAAAGTATCAGAGACCGCAAGACGCAATTGCTCAGGCATCCAAGAAGCTATGGTTTTCATGCGTACGTCTACGGAATCTCATGGCAGTGTCAAGATCTGTCTTGCCAACATCCGCTTCGGAGTCTGACAACGCCATTGGAACTACCAATTGCCTTAATAAAAAAAGGAGGAGAGCGGCCCAGCCGACTCTCCCACAGAGACAATCCCAGCTGGGTCCCCAGCAGATGCCGCAACCACAATCGATGAAGAAAGTACCCTGAGCGGCACCGCCGCTCCGGGGCAGCGAACTCAGCGGCATCCTCGCCCAGAATCGAGACCGAGGTACCGGGAAGGACGGCAGTCCTATAAGACCGCCCCCCATGCTCCGGCGCCCGCCGGCCCAGCCACGTCCGGCACCAATGCTGGAAGGATTGATTATGACAGAACCCAGTCGTGGGCAGATGAATCTTGGGCCGATGAGCCTGTTCTGGAAAGATTGGCTGCAGGGCCGGGCGGCGGTTGCGGGAGCGATGGCGGCGGCCCCGGGCCAGCCATGGCCGGCAGCTACGACGCGACGGTCGACTACGAAGACAAGAATGAGAATGCAGAAATTCAGGGATACCACGTACATGTATCCCGTCATCAGCGAGTCACTGGCCGTGACAAAACGTGGCAGTGGCTTAGTTTGAACGAATACAACGACAAGTTCAAACGTGACTCGGGGGTGCCAAGTACCTTGCCGGGGCCCCCACCCCTTCCCACGTCGAAAGCGAGGCCGCGCGAGAAGGGCCACGGCAAGAGTGAGCCAAGTAGCTGGAGTTCAAGCAGAAGAGAAAATATACATGAAAACTACTCCAGAGATCGGTTCCAGTGGAACTGGAGCAACAGAGACACGTGGGATGATTCTCGTGACTGGAGGAGTCGTTGGCAAAGGTGACGCAGCACAAAAGAACCAGTACGACATAATCGATGCTGGTCCAAACTGCATGGAGCGGGTGCACCAGTTGTGCACGGGCATTGTGGCCTGAGCTGGGAAATTTTATCTCAGGCGGGGAACGTCGGGTTTCTTCGCCCTTCCGCCCCCTGGCAACCACCGTCGAGCGGTACAATGTTTTTGTGGTTCGCTCCGGTGGCTGTACATATGTACAGGTCAGGTGGGTTGGGGGTCGGGCCGGCTCTACGGACCCCGCCGCGGGGGGAGTCAATGCACCCCTTCCGCACCACCAACCTTTAGCCCTTTCTGCTCCTTTGCCTTGCGCGCAGTGCCCGATGAACTGACTGCTTCTGCTTCCGCAGCTATACCACTTTGGCCCCAGGAAGCGGAAAAGAAGCGAGCCTGCGGCGCGCGCGCGTGCGTCGGCCGGCGGGCCGGCCTCCTCCCTTCAGTGTTACCCTGGTGTATGCTTGACGGCATTATGCTTTCTTTCCCATGCCATCGGCGGAGCCCACTGACCATGAGATATTGTCGGAACATATTGCAGGGATTACGAATATCAAGCAAAAGACTTAATTGGCTGGGCCAGGGCGGCGCGGGAGGCTCACGGATGTCGGCTACTCGGTCGCCGCGTTGCATTTAATTTCCTGAAGGTCGCAGCGGTGCTCGGGGAGAGCGCGGGCGCGCGTCGGCAAAGCGTCACGCTGCTTGCGGGAGGAGGAGGAGGAGGAGGAGGAGGAGGAGGAGGAACAAAGAGGAGGAGGAGGAGGAGGAGGAGGAGGAAGAGGGGGAGGAAGAAGAGGACCACGGCGACAGAGGGGCCTGGGCCGCTTGGGAGTGGAGGTGTGGGATGACTCCCGCGGACGGCGACGCCGCGCTGAAGGACCGGCCCCCCTGGCGACCAGCCACCCCCGGAGAGGGGTGTCGCGTAGGCAAACGCGGGGAATGGACCGACGGGCCCCGCGGGCAAAACACGAAGGGCATGATGGGGAGGGTAAGAAACCATTACCATTCAGTAAATCGCCAAAGATTTCGTGCCAGGAGCGCGCACTACCACAACATGAAGTTGCGTGAGTCGGCATTGGCCTCGCTTTCTATGTGATAGGAGATCCCACTCTTAGGGCCGTTTGGGGGGCCCACTGGCCCATCTCGACGCCCTCTCGAGCCATCTGGGCTTGGGCCGTCTTGAGGCGATATTTGAGACCCTTTGGGTCGTGTTGGAGCGTCGGAAGCCCGAGGAAACGATATCGCTAACACCTGACCGAAACCTAAAGAAAATCAATGATGTTGGTTTCCCGGGGGCCCTCTTGGGGTTCCTCTTGGAGCCCTTGGGGCGGTTCGGGTGCATTTTGGGCCGTTTGGAAGCGATCTTGGGCGTCTTGGACCGATCTTCGGATTCGCTCCCTCTCGGACCGCCTTGGGAGCCACATGAAGCCATATTGCCATGTTTTGGCCCCCACCTGCCCCCGGGAAGATCATGCGAGAACACGCGCCAATACTCAGGAACGCCCAGAACTCGGGGCCACGAGCCCCGTAGGAAGTACTTCAATATTCCACTCAAAAGATTACAAGACTTGGGGACAATCCACGTCATGCCTCGAGGCACGGTGGCGGATATGTAAATCCACCTACTGATGTGACTTCGTAGTTATTTGGCAGGACAGTGCCAGGCCCCGCGAACAAAAATCCACGGAACAACACGCAAGACAACGGCGGGACCCAGACCATTCGGCGGGATCTGACAAGACATGTCGTTTACAATCTCCCACGCGCGCATCGCCTCGTCTCGCCCGCACGCACGCGCGCCACGAACCAGAGCCGAAACCGCACTCCGCTTGAATTCGGTATCACCCCTCCCCCCAAACGTCCGACCAGTAGCTTCGGCGAAGAGAACAACAGAGGATGTTAAGACCCAGGTGAAACCCATCAGGGAATTTAGCCGAAGGCGACAGTGGTTCTGTGTAGAGATAATGATGGTACAAGTGGCATCGCATTACGCATGGGAGGAGGGATCAATTTGAAATTCTGGAGATGCTGAGACAACTCTGGCGGCAGCTCTTTGGTCAGAACTCTCATACATCTCAATGGTTCCGCAACGACGAGCGCGAGGGAATAACCCTAGCTCCGCCATGAGCTTGCCATGATGCCAAGGAAGAGATGGTGGCGGGCCATATTGAATGTCACTACATCCTCGGCGTGTCGCAAATGGCAAGTTCACGCTTCCACGCGCATGTGTCATCACATCATGCTTCATTGCCGCATCCTCCATGGAAACCAACGCATTCGTTTGGTTGTCCTACAAGCACGTGGCGTAACCTCAGAAAGTTGTGCCTATCACGACGTTGATTCAAAAACGCAACACCAAGGCTGATGTTGTAGTTCCGTCCCGTGCAGTTTGGCCCATTGGTTGTCGCCGATCGTGCTCCTTCGAGAGTTGCGCAGGTGTGTGGGGCCTGCCACTACTCCAGCTGTGAGGAGTGCTCCCAGCACAAGACGAAAGGCGGGAACAGGGGGCAGGGGGGCGAGGAGTAAGGTCAGGAGAGAGAGACGGAGCTGAAGGCTGACGAGGATGAGCGAAGAGAGATCAGGTGAGGAATATGAAAAGGACGCTGACAATGGCGACAACGAGGGGGACATGGGCGAGTCTCAGAGAACAGCGAGAATTCGTGTTGCAGCGTCGCGCCAGAAAGAAATGTCATTCAATGTATGTCGATGCATCTCGCAGCCAGGGACCCGTCGGAGTTACGATGAGGTACGTAAAGAGTCGGGCGCATCATTTTCTTTGAAACGTGCTGATGCATCTGTTGTTTTCCACTGCATGAGTGGTGCTGTTCTTATGGCTCCAAAATCCTTCCGTCATCGGGGTGCGCCGCTCGCCTGGGAGAAGGGGGCCTTGGAGCGGGAAGAGAGCCAGGGTGGTATCCGGTGGTCTTCGGCCGGTAAGCGTTCCTGGGATGTAGACTATCCGTGCCACTCCTTGGGGGCCTCGTCAGAGCCTTGTGTGGCTCCACGAGGCTCGGCAGCTTCATGCAGGAGCTGCAGGGGCTGCGATCGTGTGCGGGTTCGAGGGCCGCGTCCACCAGAGCACGTGGAGAAGGGCGTTCGGGACCAGTGAGGAGTGTGAAGGGTGAAAGGAGGAGGAGGAGGAGGAGGAGGAGGCCTGTTGGGCCTTCTTGGGGGCCTTTGGAGCCTCCAGGGGCCGTCTCGTGGCCCTCTTGGGCCGTCTCGGGGCCCTCCTGGGCGCCTCCAGGGCCGTATGGGGCCGGTTTTGGGGGGGCGTGCTGTGCAGTCCCAGGCCGCCAGAGGTCAAAGGAGATGAGCAAGCGAAGATGAATAGCAGATTGTAGAACAAAGTGGGCGTTTTTTTTATTCGGCGTTTCGACATGGGGCGGAAGGGAGGGGGGAGGGGGGGTCTGGCTCCAGACCTCTGCTTAGTGCGTCTGTTTGGAACCATGCGTCCATTATGGGGGAAACTCCACCTGCTCGAGCAGGCGCCAAAAAACAGTCAAGATCTACTCCATGGGGGGGGAGGGGGGGTGCGAAGGCCCGCGCTGACCGGCAAAACAAGGAATCAAAAAATTGATCACAAAGCAGTGCTTTGTTTGTCTCTGGGCTGTCTTTGGCATTGTCTGGGAGCTCTCTTGTGGCGTCTTGACAGCATACAGCGGCGGAACAGAAGCGCATCTGAAATTTCAAAGGGCCGTGGAATTACCCAAAGGGCATCAGCCCCCCCTTCCCCCCGTAGAGTCCCTTCAAGAAGAGCTTTTTCGGGCCCCTGTCATCGGCAAGATGATTAGACCCTGGGGTCCTGGGCCTCTATAATGAGATAGCTTAGATCCTGGACCGAAGTTTTCCCGTTGGTTTGTTACGTTAAAAATGTGTGTTCCAGCCTCAAGGATCCAAGTGGGTTTTCACACTCGAAGCGATCCTCCCGGCCTGTTCCCGACTTCGGCTTCAGGTCGATCCTTCGCATTTCCGACGGCACTTCCGCCCCGCCGAAGCATCGGGCCATACCCGGGCCGTGCTTGCTCTCATGGAGCCCGCGCTGGCAGCGCTGGAGCCACTCTGGCGCCGTCTTGGCGAGCGCCGGGAGCGCCGGCGGAGCTCCGAGGGCCCGGGAGGAGCGCCGGCGTGCTCGGCCCTTTCCCCCCCGGGGCACTCCCTTTTCGGGCCGGACGAAAAATGGGGGGGAATGTCAGCCACGCGCAGGGGGGGGGGTGAGGGGAGGGGGGAGGGCTTCTTAGAAGCACCCCTGCTTCTCAGAAGGCGCGGGCCTCATCTATAGATGTAAGGCCAGCGCCTTCTAGATGTAAGGCCAGCGCCCTCCCCCCTCCCTCCACCTCCTTGTGCGCGCCGCCAAGAATGGGAAAGGGGGGGCTACGACATTGGCTGCCTGTAGCTGGTTTCGGCCCCACTGAGGGGCCCATTCCTCGATACATGGCCGCCTCCGGCGCCGGGAGGCGCCCGGGAAAGTCAGCTACGTGAGTTGATTCTCAAACCCCCCCTTTGCTATCCCCCCCTTTCGCCCAGCCCGACCTTCCAGAGCAATGCAGAAATCGCTGAGGTCCAGCTGACACAGAGAAGGCGGGAAGTCCAAGACCTCTGAACGCGTATCGGCTGTTCGACGAGTTTGGCCTCTCGGCTGCCTCCCCAGGAGGCCAAATTGGGGAGTAGCGCGTTCCCTTTTAGGCCAACTCGGGCAATCCTGGCGCATACTGAACCGAGATTGGGTAATACTACGGGTTTGTTTGGCATTTGTGCTCCGTGGGCACGTCAAAAGAGCAGTTTAGGCGAACCCCAGAAATCCTGGTCCGCGGCCTGTCATGGGTGTCAAGTTTTCGGCACTCGTTGACTCCAACTAGGAATGGTCGAGTTGATAAGATTGGACTCCAGAGGAATCAATTCGATATTGGACTACTCCATAGGCCTCCACGGGGCTTCCATAGATCCCAATAGATCCCATAGGACCACATTGGGATACGATTGGTATCCATAGGACTCCATTGGATTACCCATAGGACTACATTGGGTCCCGTTGGACTCAATATGGCTCTATTGGACTCCACAGGACCCCGTTGGAATACAATGGAACTTCATAAGAACCCATTGGACATATTGGATTCCATTGGCCTCACAGGAATCCACTAGATGCAATAAGACTCCATTGGGCACTATGAGATATCATTGAAATCAATGGGACGTTGACTTACCTCGGGCCCAGTTCGTTTCGGACCGAGGCTCGTTTCGGACCCAGCCCCTTTCGAACCCAGCTCGTTTCGGCCGGGTCCACGTCCACAAATTGGCCATGTCCCGCGGCGGACGGGTCCGAACCAGGGTCCACAGATGTCCACAACCAGCCAGCCGCGTCCGAGGGCCAGCCAGCTCATCCTGGGTCAAAGAGCGATGTGTACGTGTCCTTGGCCAAGCCAGGAGGGCGTAGCACACCACTCCTGATTCCAGGATTGGCCTGGCCAGGGGCAGTGGATCTGCACTGGTCTCGTCGCCCAGCCTTCTTTTCCGCACCCGCGGCAGCCGCGGGGCAGGCACGTGCTATTGCGGGGCGCCAACCCGGAGGCGCCGGTTCTGAAGGGGGGCGGTCGCGGCAGCCTCCGCGGTCGGGCGGCTCTGCCAGGCCGGTGTTGCGGGTGAGGCTATGGCCAGGGACGTTTGCTCAGCGAGTCGCGCCGTTGGTTCTGCGCCACGACGCTTCGGCGCGACACGCTAACCACGTCCCCGGGCCCCGAGCGTCAGCGTCCCGAATCTTGCGAGGCCTCCCGCCCCGCGTGAGCGGAGCGACACGCTACCCGCTTGCTGGGCAAAGTGTGTCGCTGGAGCCGCCACTGCAACACGCGAAGGACAAGTTCATGGTATCGCTCGGACGTGTGCACTTGTTCTCGGCGGGGAATACCAAGGAGCATCCTGGATCATCCTGTGAAAGAACCACGCACGAAACCGTAAAAGAAAACACAGGGAATGGACGTCCGAGCGACGGGGAGAGTTCCTGACCGTATGTGGCTTTGGGGCGGGAGCAGCTAGCTGCGTGAGAATCTCGGCGAGCTTCCACCGCACACCCCTTCGAGGGCTCGACCTCGCCGCGCTCCGAGGAGAGCCCTCAGCCCTGACACCTTGCGTGCGAACAACTGATGAGTTCTGTTGTCCCTAGTGCGAAGCGTCTCTCTAGAGGGTCCTATTGGAGGTAAAAAATGGCCAGAATGATCACAGGGAGAGTCCCACAAGGGGGGGGCGGGGAGCCCGAGGACGTTGGGTCCGGCAGCTCACGCGGCAGCCGCTTCGCTGGAACACTCCCCACAATGTATCGCCGAGCGCGTTCCGCTGCTCGCAAAGGGCCTACTCGCAAGCGTCCGAAAAACACATGTCTGCTTTAATGTAGTTTATCGTAGATCCCCCGCGGCGAATCCAGGCCGTTTGTGAGTGGTTACTTGGCGAGTCGTGGAACGCGCTCGTCCAACGTATGCGGAATGTCTGCCCTCGCCGCGCGTCCGTTTTGGTCCGGACGGCCCCGGCCCCTTGCAGCAGATGCGTTACGGTGCACATGGCCGTGCTCTCACGCCCCAGTCGCACGATCCCTTATAAAAAGCACGACCGTGCACACGGCCGTGTGGGCTCCGGAGGCCGAAATATATCCAAGAGAAGCCGCTGGATCGAAGAAAGAAAAAAAAAAATCGGGGGACGACTCGTGGGCGGCTCCAGTCGGCTCCCCGAGTCCCCATACAGTCAATTACACACGGCCACGGTGCATTGCAACAGACACGTCACGGCGCTCATGGCCAGACTCTCACCCCCTGTCACACGGCCACGATTGTTCGCAAAAGATGCGCTACGGTGCACATGGCCGTGTTCTCACCCTTGTCACGCCTAGGAATACCTACTGTAGGAATGCACGTCTTCACTAGCCGACCTCCTGTTCCTCGACACGCCTCTTCACTTTTCATGCTGCTAGGGTGCTTTGCTGGGGTAATCTGGTACAGCGAGCTTCTAGGGCGCGAACTCTACGAGGAGGAGGAGGAGGAGGAGGAGGACGAGGAGGAGGACGAGGAGGAGGACGAGGAGGAGAACGAGGAGGACGAGGAGGACGAGGACGAGGAGGACGAGGAGGACGAGGCGGATGCGGGTGAACCAGCGTGGCGGGTCTGGCCCTTTGGAAGGGATGGAGAGCAGCAGGTCCGAGGAAGGGAGGGAGCGAAGGAGAAGGAAGACGAGGGCGTTCGTATGCCTTCTGGAGGTTTGTGGGTCTCTCGGGGGCTCTGTGGAGTTCTACGGGGGGGGGGCACGCGGCCACCGGCCACGTGCAACCGAATTCAGTTTTGGTTGCCACCCCACGCATCACCACACCCGAGGGTGTCGGCCATCGGCTTGGCAGCGCGTTTGACCAGGCACACGGGTTGCTCGAGCGCAGGAAAAGCGCGGATAGATTCCCCCCCCCAAAGGTCGCTGGAGCGCACCACGTGCCCGAGACCGCCGACTGTCTCTCCAGCTCCACCTCTTCGCGAATGCACCGTGCGGGGCCACGGTGCCACAAGCCACACGGTGCCACGGGGCACGTCGCAACGGGCAACCGAATCCAGTCTGTGGAGGCACCCCGGGCGCACCAGCTTCCACGGAGCCCCCTGGGGCCACGCCAGGTCCTCTGCCGACGAGATCGAGAACCGATGTCCAGCCCCACTCCCCCTTTTGGTAGGCTATCACGGAACCAGCACTGAAGGTTCGGGGCGCATCCTTTGCAGGCGTCAGCGGCTACAGTTGGGTAGTTTTGCTGGGCAGCGGGGGATTGGGATTGGGAGGAGGGGCAGAGTGTGCAGGAGACAGGTTTCGGAGATCAGTTTTGCAGGGCACCTTGATGCGCCGGACAGTAGACTCCCTCCCTTGTCAGCCCTTGCTTGATCGATATGGTTGTGGGGACATTACGTGTCTTGTGCGCACTTGCGCACAGCTAGCACATCCCTGAGCTTCCCATGGCTAGGTCCCTACGCCGCATCGCAGCGAGAGACCCGTCGTCACCGTTCGAGCTGCAGGGACTGGCTTCGCCAGCCTTGGGCGACAGCTGGCGCAGCTAGGCTAGGGCCGCGCCGCGCGCAGACACTCCGAGGAGTGTTTCGCGGTGGTGATGCTGGCTGCAGCAAATATGTTTCGGTCCGCTTTGATCCAAGTAGTCAGTGCTTCTTGATTGTACCTGGCATTGGTCTCTCTGTACTCCAGCTGCTCGTGCTTGTCAAGTTTCGCCTCTTCATGCTTCTCTGCGCCAGCCTTCCTCCATTGCTTCCGACTTCTCATGTATGCCACGCGGTCTCTGCGTCTGTCTGGTTGGCGATCCCCTCTTGCTCAATTAACACATGTGCATATGTGTGTGCACATACACATTTACACATACATATACATTTACATATACATATACGCACACCTGTGCACGTGTACAATACAATAGGCGTGATGACAGTTTGGCTCTTTGTTTGATCTGTTGGGGCATAGCCGGAATAACGGCTACGAAGCATTCAAATGCTTTGGTGACATGAGGGAGTCTTGCCGTCAGTGTCGTTGTAATTTGGGCCTGGTTGCATGAAATACAATCAGTGCGACTTGGGCCCAGCAGCGCCTGAGCACCAGAGTGACTATGAGCGAAATACTCCTTCTCCAATTGTTCGGAACCGACTTCTGTTGTTTGGAATTGGTTTGGAACCGTCAAGAAGCCATTTTGGCGAGGACGTTCCACGCGGTTTGACGTTTGGGAGCTGTTATCTCAATGTGTGGAACCAGGTTCCGATCACATTTGCAAGGAAGTCTCAAGCGAAACGCTTGTTTTGCAATTGTTTGGAAGCAGTTTGTATTGTTTGGAACCGTTTTGGAACCGTCGAGGCAGCAATTTGGGCGAGGAAGTCCCAAACGGTCTGCCGTATTCGAACCGCCATTCCAATGTTTCGAACCGGGTCACAAGCTTTGAGGGAAGTCCCACGCGCAGCGCTCATGTTGTTTTTGTTTCGGACTGGAATATATATCTTCGAATTGTCAAAACGACCATTATTGTGAGGATGTCCCGCTCAACAAAAGTTGAATTGAGACACCAAACCTCAAATTTCCTTCCGCCCAGGTTTCGAGGCACTTCCCCCGTAACATTGTAACAGGTCCACATCCCGAATAGGGCCACTAGGGAAGCGTGTTTGCATTGCGGACGCAGGATGCAAATTTTGCCAGCCCCTCATAATGGGGCAATCTTTCGTCACGGCACAGTGTTCGAGCATCACATACATATAAACACATACATACATTCCTTTGCACACATATTCAAAACTGCAGCGGCGTTTCGCGCGATGCCCCTTGGTCCCTGAAGTTTGACATGCAGGCGGAAGGGCAGGGAGGTAAAACATACATAACATAAGTACGTGTTGTTTTTCCCGGCATCATCGTTAGAATTCGAGTGAGGAGGCCGAACGGTCATTCATTGATTTTGGGTGCGTGGCTGAAGTTGGGCTCCGCGGTGCGGATTGTTGTTGCGCTGTTGTGTTGCGGTGTTGCGAATTTGTCGTCCTCGCCCCGCGACCCACCCCGCGACAGCATGTAGTGACATAAAGGGTTGGGGAAGCCGTCATACCCCAAGATGGGGGAAGATGGAGGAGGGAGGAGGAAGAATAGGAGGAGGAGGAGGAGGAGGAGGAGGAGGAGAAGGAGAAGGAGGAGGAGGAGGAGGAGGAGGTGAAGGAGGATGGGGGGGGGAGGAGGGAGGAGGAGAGGGAAGGGGGAGGGAGAATAGGCAGATGAGGAGTATGAGGAGGACCATAGCAAACCCAAGATGCAACAAGCGATGCTGCAACACACCCTCGCGCCCCAAGTCCATTGCTCATAAGTCCATACTAGTCTTCCTTTCCACTGCGGGCGCCCCCCCCCTTGAATGACGAGCGGCTGGTCGGCCCACCAGTCAGACGAGAGCGCCTGTTGTAAAGGATCTTCCTTCCGATTGAAGGACACCCAGGCAGTCCCATTTTGAGAAGCACATGCTCTCCATCCGTCTAAGCGTTGCAGGATGTCAAAGGCGTGGGCGTATGCTTCGCAGAAGTCTCACGCGAGAGCCCCATTTGAATTAAGGCGGCGCTTTCCATCTGTGTTAGTTCGCTGTTGCACAAATCGCTGGATCGCACAGGTCGAGGAAGGGTCAAGTGAGTGTACATGTTGGAGTTCGTATTCGAATGTGTGCGTGGCCCACGGGAGACCCCAATACGACGGGGACGTTCGTTGAGGAATGTGCCCAGAAGGCAGCAGACCCTGGAGGATTCCTTATCTGAGGAGGGCCATGGTCATATCCATGGCCGATCCACGATTGGAGTTCTACCGGTTTCCATACCATGGATTCATTATCCAAGAGTTCTTTTGTTCAATGCCCCCACCATTTGGGGAAGGGCTCGCCATCCACTCGCGCAGCCAAGGACGACTTGGAAACCGAGTATGCACAGCGCCAGGGCGAGAGCCCCTTGTTGAAAGTGGTCTACCCTTTACCTGTTCTTTGGTTGTGTAAACGATCGTGCGCGGCGCCGGGCGCCAGCAAAGCGAAAGCCCCATTGTGAAAATCGCTTGTGTTCC